TACCCAGGCGATGTGGGACTGTGCACCCGTAACTCGCCAGTGTGATAGTCTATCAGTGTCTCGCACCCGCCCACGGCATACCCGCTGACAGGGTCATCATAATCCACCCCCCTTGGAGGCCCGATGTCCCCGTCAGCACACTTTCAGCTGGGTCAAGCTTTGATACCATTTGTAACGACCCACTCCACCACATGTTATGATATTATCCGCTTTGGGCCTGAGCTCGCACGGTTTTGCTCTTGGGCTTCACCCTAAAAGGCCTCATACCAATTGTAGATGACACACTTACATATAAGCACTTCACCTTTCCTCTACCCAGGCGATGTGGGACTGTGCACCCGTAACTCGTCAGTGTGGTAGCTTGTCAGTGTCTCGCCCCCGCCCACGGCACACACGCTGACAAGGTCATCACAATCCACCCCCCTTGGAGGCCCGATGTCCCCGTCAGCACACTTCCAGCTGGGTCAAGCTCTGATACCATTTGTAACAACCCACTTCACCACATGGTATGATATTGTCTGCTTTGGGCCTGAACTCGCAAGGTTTTGCTCTCGGGCTTTACCCCAAAAGGCCTCATACCAATTGAAGATGACACACTTACATATAAGCACTTCACCTTTCTTCTACCCAGGCAATGTAGGACTGTGCACCCGTAACTCGCCAGTGTGATAGCCTGACAGTGTCTCTAGCACCCGCCCACAGCACACCCGTCCACAAGGTCATCACAATCCACCCCTTTGGAAAACAAAACCGTATATGAGTAAATAAATATAAATCTCTCGATCAATAAACATATACGATAGGATTTAAAACTCTAATATACGAGTTCAACTATTTATAACATCCCACTGTCGCCTCCCAACCGTGCGCAGTTCAATACAAAGGGAAATATCTCTTTCCGACATATTTTTAAATGAAGTCGAGGTCTGATTGTACAACCCTTACTTCCATTTCTAACCAACAAATGAGAGGTCTGCATTGTGAAAGATACAAAACCTCCAAAGTTATCACACTAACCTCCTTGTGCCAACAATATCACAGACAAAATTCCGACAAGTGAAGTAAACACTTCCAACTATCCATGAAAATCTAGGATATACGCCTCAAACATATCCTTTATGGTCTAATTTAATCTCTCGATTAATTCCTCCGTCTATAGATATGAAGTAGAGCTGTTGCTCCAAAATCTTCATAAAGCTCCTTCGAAATAGCACTTTGCATCCACTAATATAGACATCCACATGCTATAATACCACTATCAGTGAACTATAGAACTACTATGAAGTTCTAAAATAAGCATCACTCAAATTTATGTCCTCAAGCAATCTTTCTCAATCCACCACTCGGATTCCATATAGAAAATTGAAATTCCAAATCAATGTCAATCCTTCCCACCGACAGTCACTCATATTTAATTCAACTTCCATATTTGTTATAGGAAGTGGCTAAAGATTCCTATGATATCCGATGATCAACTTTCCACCTTTGTAGCAGGTTTTACACTTAGGGCAATTATATATGCATCCTTATCCGTATCTGTTCACTAAAACCGACATTTGATGTCATAATGTACCTTCTAACCATCTGAGCACACCCGAGAAAAATTATAAACTTTCCAGCTCAGTCGCACGACCGTTATATCACTATTTACCGAAACTACTAAATCCTCCTTACGTACCTTAAACTCCATCTGAGTAAGGTAACACCGTCTCCAAGGTCAGCTCCAATATTCAAAGTTGACCTTTTCAACTACCGTAGTAATAACAAGTGTTATTATTACACATACTATAAATGTATTTGATAACTTAACAACTAACCGAAAGATTTAAATATTCTATCGTTTGTTGAGAGCATCCATTTACATCATTGCTTCCACTAGACGGAACTTGATATAAAGTGTAAATCACCACTGTAATCCATCTAAACCGTCTCGTGATCCATTCTATTCGTATGAACTGAAGTCCTACCAGTTCAAAATAGACAAGAATCAAGTTGACCTGATGTATCAGTCAACCAATATTTCATTCAGAATCCTGACCCTTGTGTAAAATCAAAAATCCCACAACTAAATCTGTAAATTGCTCTTTCATTTCCACTTTAGTATAGGAAATGGCTGTAAAGGATCTAGTGATCTTTGATGGTCCATCTCTACTATCTAATAAATATTAGACCTCGAGAGAAATCACTATGTCCCTTCTCCTGCCTATCGTGAAGCATCATGTTTCCACCAGGATGAAAAACTAAAAGTTGTGAAACTCAGTCCATGCATCCTCCATCCAATTTGTCTATAGAAAGTACCGTTAGTCCGGTACCACCAGCTTTCGTCTATACCCAATGTTTAAATTGGAGTATCTTCAAACGCGAATTCTGTATCAATCGATAATTCCATTTATCAATAGTCAACTATGACTTTAACTCAACAAAAGTCAACAAACTATGACATTTCCATACATACCATGCACCTCATCTTTATATAGGTGTTTGGTCTTACCATCTTGTCTTTGACATACACTGCTTCTTTAAGATAAGTTAATGACAATCCGACTTCTTTGTCTGACTTCAAAAAAATATAAAATCTTTCCATCCTCCACATAAGTTATCAATTTCCTAGCAACAGATAATTGTTGCAAATTGTGACTAAAAAAATAATTCCATATTATTTATGGAAATGAAGAGACTTAATTTCCTCCTCCATGTGCAACACCAGCAAATTCCTCCTAATGACACACCCTCGTGAATAAATTCTTGATTAAGAATTTACTGATGAATATTTATTTAGTCTTTTATCCTCACTCGGTGTCATTCCAATAAGTACTTAATCTAGTACTAAATCCTCCTTCCGACTTGATAACAACTTCTGAAATTTTCAAGAAGATGTTCAGCAAATCCAGCACCTTTAATAAATCATCATGGCGTTACAGTGATCTTTATTTACCACTACCTCACGCATACCGAAACATTAACTACCACCAATATCATGGCATTGTAATATGATACGAATCCATACCTAACGTAAAGTATATCAAACTAATCATTCTAGATTATTTGACTCGTAGTGATGGTTTAATTATCCCATCCCAAAACAAACCATAATAACACATGTCCAGGTCTAATAGATTGGCTAGATTTATGTGTATCTACCAAATCCTATGACCGTACGATCACAAATCTAGCGTAAATAACGCTATTACTCCATATTATTAAAACAATAGTTAGTTGATCACACACTTGTGTCTCCAACTAAACCACATATCAAATCCAGAGTAATTAACAAAAAAAAAAAAAAAAAAAACACGAATAATAAACACAATAAAACAAAATGTACTCCTACTTTGGACATCGTTCTTTCTAGAAAAAAAAAGTCTCATTTGAAATCAACCTTACTAGATTATTTCAAAATTTCTTTTTATAGTTTCGTAAATAATCATCCAACCTCGAAACATATCCTTTAAAACATAACTTAAAAACACAAATGTTTACCTAAGCAAATACCAAGGGCTTAACCATCATCCTTCTTATATGCGGAATGTAAACTGTCTAACTTGGCTTTATAAAGTGAATTAGAACGTCACAACATAATACCAATGCCTTTTTGTATGTGATTTAAAAATTATGTATTTCATTCTGATAAGAACACATCCGATCCCCAAACTCCTGAACAATACTTCTTATATACCTCTTTTAGAGATGATAAGAAAGCTTAATTATTTGTAGATTGATCATCCCCAATTCTACTAATAACATTCGCTATACTACTAGCAATTCAGATCACCTCGCACGATCATCAATCTTCAAGATTTAGTACCCTCTCTATTGGATACACATAAATCTCCTCCATTAGGATCCTCTTCGGCTCCTACTCCTCGCATGTCTCCTTTTTAAGATCAACTGAAGTCATGTTGGCCACGATATGCGGTGACCTATCACGTATACCTAAATCCTTCATTGGCTTATACTTTTAAAGTAACGCCAAATGAACTTAAACCATCAATCCCTAATTCTGCCTTCTGGCAACGAAATCGATAACGTACTCCTTTACTCCTTTGGGTCTTTATCGCTTTCGCCTTGAACCCATCCTTTTCCTAGTGCCAACCATTCTATGACTACAAAATATAATTGACATCAGCTCCTCCTAACATACCGTAAATAGAGTACAACGAATCTTAATATGGGCACTAAGTTTTAAGAGACGCAATGCGGAAGTCACATAACGAAAAATACTCCTCAAGACACTTGAACCTGGAGTGCTTTGATACCATTTGTAACGATCCACTCCACCACATGGTATGATATTGTCCGCTTTAGGCTTAAACCCGCACGGTTTTACTCTTAAACTTTATCCTAAAAGGCCTCATACCAATTGGAGATGGCACACTTACATATAAGCACTTCACATTTCCTCTACCCAAGCGATGTGGGACTGTGCACCCATAGCTCGCCAGTTTGGTAGTCTGATAGTGTCTCTCGCACCCGTCCACGGCATACCCGCCCACAAGGTCATCACAATCCACCCCCCTTGGAAGCCCGACGTCCCCGTCGGCACACTTCCGGCTGGGTCAAGCTCTGATACCATTTGAAATGACCCACTCCACCACATGGTATGATATTATCCGCTTTGGGCATGAGCCCGCATGATTTTGCTCTTAAGTTTTACCCCCAAAAGGCCTCATACCAATTGGAGCTAACACACTTACATATAAACACTTCACCTTTCCTCTACCTAAGCGATGTGGGCCTTGTGCACCCGTAACTCGCTAGTGTGGTAGCCTGACAGTGTTTCTTGCACCCGCCCACAAGGTCATCACAATCCACCCCCCTTAGAGGCCCGACGTTCCTGTCGGCACACTTCCGGCTGGGTCAGATACCAACTGTAATACCCCCTGATTTCGGAACACGGGTTGATCAAATCCGCGCACAAAATCAAGAGATATCAGCCAATCAATAATAAGCAAGCACAGAATACAAGAGGAAAAAAAAATAATAAAATAAATAAACAATGCTAAAAGGGAAAACCAAATCAATAATTAAGTAACAAAACCTCTGATAACATAATCTCCAATAAAATTCCATAATAATAATAAATCTCCGGAGTACAACTTGGGAATCCATACCATGCGGACCCCTAATAAAAATCCAAACTAAAGACAAAATAGATAAATGTCTAACTCAAAAATAATAAATAATAACAAAAACATAGTGGAGGTCCTACGTCTATGACACCAGAAAAGTGATGAAGTCTGTCCTCTGCTCTGCACGAACTGACTCTACGTCTGGAACTATCGAGGACCTGAAAAGATAACAACAAAGGTGAGTCAAAACCCACGAACAAGCCCTTTCTACTACATCCCAAACAGAGACCCAATAAACGATACATCCTAATCCGACTCATGTAATATCTACGTAGGTCTATATACATAAGTATACACACTATAAACTCTCACTGGATCATAAGACAGCCTCAACCAGATAGTAGGTCTCATGCAAGCGCACACAAGGTGATCACGAGTACCTCTTTTACCAGGGCACACACATCTCTAGATCCAGCTACGTATCTCATCTGGCATTATACGCTAATCCTAACCATCGATCACAAGATCTTAAGCTCGTATCATGGTACTCAATAAAAATATATATATAAGTAATTATAGCCATATCCTGATAATGGCATGATCAAAAGTCATATCTATATCCTGACAATAGTATGACAAACCGTATGAGTCTAGGCTTATTTGTCGGCTCACACAGGTATCAGCAAACCATATCCTAACAATGGTGCTTCTAAGACCATATCCTAACAATAGTCCTCCTATCATACACTTCTAAACAAGTATGTATACTTTATATTCACGTACATTCATATAGCAGTCTAAATAACAACATAAGCTTTTACAACTATCATACGAGTAACTTGCAGCACAAGTATTGCAGCACAAGTAAAGCCTTAGCTACTAGACCCCTATGATAATTATTATATATTTATCTGCTATCAATATTAAGCTATTTAAGCTTCTTGTTGCGATATATAAGTAACTTGCAGTGCAAGAGAAATTATAACTACAATGCATGCATGATTTATTTCACATAACAACCTCCACCAACAATGTTGCAACAATCTAGAAAAAAAAAAAAAAAATGAATATTAAAAACGTAGTTCGCAACTCAGTAAAATCATTATAATAGTATACTATGTCCAAAATAAATGATTCAACATTATAGATAATAAAATGAATATTAAATACATAGTTCACAACTCAGTAAAATCATTATAATAATATACTATGTCCAAAATAAATGATTAAACATTATAGAAAATAAAATGAATATTAAATACATAGTTCATAACTCAGTAAAATCATTATAATGATATACTATGTCCAAAATAGATGATCTACCCACGTAAGAAAATCATGTTTAATCATGGGAGTGACTTTCAGTCCCAACAAGCCTATGGAACTAATCAATCAAGTTATTACAGCAAAGGCAGGCAAAAGTCCCCAAACTTCTTTCTAAACTTCTTTCTCCAAATGGGTGTCAATTTTTCCAACAGAAGGTCACGCAAAAGACACCTTTCCTGTAAGAAATAGGAAATGGATTTAATGGGATCAGAAGACTCGGCATTAAACCCAAACCCAAATCAAACCAATTGGCTTCTTCAATCAAATTAGTTCCTAAAGTTTATATCTAAGTTCCATAGCATCCCAATAGCCCATACTAAGCACGGTTCACGATTTTACAGCATTGAAACATCGATAATTGCATTTAAATAATAATAAAAAAAAAATAGCAACTAAAATCATGAAAAAATATATAAATAAAATTTTAATTATTTCTCTATCACGATCTATTTCCCACATATAAAAGTTTAATTAAATATGTGATTAATACCCTAAAGCCGTTCAATAGATGGATCGATCACGAAATCAACAAGGACAAGAAGAACAAAGACTTGCCTTTTAAGAATTTCAGATCAAAACTCTTTTCTTCTCCGATTTCCGCTTGACACCAGCGGCCTTCAGGTCGCCGTCGTCTACCTTTGTTGCTCCGAGTATCACCTATAATAGCCGGCCTCACCACTCTCTTCCTTCCTCTATTTTTTTCTCTTTCTTCCTCTCTTCCTCTCTGTATTTTTTCTCTTTTATCGCCGCCGTCTCTGTATTTTTTTCTCTCCAGTTTCGTGCCCCAACAATCCTTATCACAACAGACTTAACATATATATATAAATATATAATACTAACCTAATCCTAGACTAATTCAATTACACCCAACCACACTTTAACACAACTATATAAAATAATATAATAACTACACAACAATGAAACAATCCAAATAACCCATCACTGTCAAGTTACAGAAATAAAATTATATATATAAATTCTGCTAATAACTATATAAATAGTTTTATATGTTACTAACTATATGGTATATACGTTTATACCCATACATATATAAATCTACATATATATATATATATATATATATATATATATATGATAACCATATAAAATATATATATATATATATATATATATTTATATAAATGTTACTAATAACTAAATAAATAATAAAACAAAGACTACTTTTACATCATTGTGAAATATATATAATTATATATTCAAATATATATATATATATATATATATATATAATTTACATCACCAACTAAAAATAAAACAAAATAAATAAATATTTTACAATTAACTAAAAAAATTTCACTAAATAATTAGCATTGAAATGACAAATAAATAAACACTCCAAAACAAGTTTCACACACACTTCAATTAGCCAAGTAGATAAAATAAATAAATAAATAAATAAAATAAACACTAAATAATTAACATTTAAATGACAAACAAATAATTAACAATTCAAATAGCCACGTAGATAATTAAATTGAAATAAAATAAAGAAATAAAACCTTAAAAAAAAAATAATAAATTAGGGGTATTACATTCATCCCCCTAACAAAGGAATTCCGTCATTGGAATTCACCTTTTACCTTATTGCAATAATTCTGGAAATTTTGAACGGATGACATCTTCTCGCTCCCAAGTGGACTCGGCCTCATTATGATGGTTCCACTGTACACGCACAAGAGGAATAGTCTTGTTACGAAGCACCTAATCACGGCGAGCAAGAATACAACACGGTGGCTCAACATACGTCGCATTCGACTGCAACTCAATCTCGCCAACATCTATATGCTGATAACGATCCTTATCTCGTAGAAATTTCCGCAACATGGATACATAGAAGACATTATGGACCCAATGTAGATGATCCTGAAGTGCTAACCGATAAGCTACAGCTCCCACTCGATCCATAATCATAAAAGGACCGACAAAACGTGATGACAACTTCCTCTTCTTCCCAAAGCGCATTACGCCCTTCATGGGAGACACTTTGAACAACACCTGATCCCCTACTTGAAACTCTAAACTGCGAGTAAAACGATCTGCATAACTCTTCTGCCTACTCTGAGCAGTACGCATACGGTCGCGAATAAGAGCAATCTTCTCAAAGGTATCCTTAATGAATTTAAAACCTAGAAATTTGCTCTCACCGACCTCCAACCAACAAACAGGAGATTGACATGGTCAGCCGTACAACGCCTCAAACGGTGCCATACCAATAGTCTTCTGAAAACTATTATTGTAGGCAAACTCTGCAAGTGGCAAATAATATTCCCAGTTGCCCTTAAAATCAAGGACACAGGAACGAAGTATATCCTCCATGATTTGATTGACTCTCTCGGTCTACCCATCAGTCTGAGGATGATAAGCAGTGCTAAGATGTAGTTCGGTACCTAAAGCCTCCTGGAAACTCCCCCAAAATCCTGATACAAAGCTTGGATCCCTGTCTGATATAATAGACATCGGTATGCCATGCAGCTTCACAATCTCTGCAATGTAAAGCCTCGCCAACTGTTCTGAAGTGAAATAAGTGCGTATAGGCAAGAAATGAGCTGATTTGGTCAACCTATCAACAATGACCCAAATAGAATTGTGATTCCTGTTGGAATTGGGTAATCCCTCAACGAAATCCATAGAGATACTCTCCCATTTCCACTCCGGTATAAGAAGTGGCTGCAAAGAACCAAGCGGCCTTTGATGATCAATCTTGACCATCTAACAGGTACTACATTTGGAGACAAAGATGGCTATGTCCTTCTTCATACCTGCCCACCAAAACTGTCGCTTCATATCTTGATACATCTTATCTCCACCGAGATAGATAGAGAACTCAGATTTGTGAACCTCAGTCATCACATCTTTTCTCAAATCATCGGTAGAAGGTACAACTAGGCATCCGTTGTACCTCGAGCCCCCATCTACCCCGACAAAGTAAAATGGAACATCACCAGAAGCTAACTCCATAACTCTATCAATGCACTGCTGATCCATAAGTTGTGCCTAATTTTAATTATTTTATATATTGTGATACCCCCTAATTTCGGAACACGGGTTGATCAAATCCACGCACAAAACCAAGGGATATCAAAACAATTAAAGTATTTCAAACAAGCGCAGAGTACAAAATGAAATAAAAGAATAAATAATACGCTGAAGAAAAACTAATAAATAAAAAAATTTCCATTAATAACTCTTCAATAGTTACAACTCGAGAATCCCGTAACTTAAGGACCCCTTAACCAAAATTCACTATCTATAAATCTATTAATAATTACTGAAGTAATAATATCCTACTTTGAAATAACATAGAAATAATAGATAAGTCCTCCAGCTGCGGATCCTCAACCTTAAGACTTGAACTTCTAATAACCTAAAAAATAAATCATGGGTTAAACCCTACGAGCAAGCTCTCTTTACTAAGCTTCTAAAAACCAATAAGCAGATCATCTCTGATCAAAACCAAACCTAATAAAGTTTTAAGTTTAATAAAGATACTCATATGTATAAATAATTATATACAATATAACGTTCACATCCATTAATAGTAAAGATACTCATATGTATAAATAATTATATATAATATAACCTTTACATCCACTAATAGGTTCATTAATTTTTAAAACCATTAAATCAAGATTAAAACATAATCCTACCTAAACCAATCCACAATCTCCTTCTCTGTTAAAGAAAAACCTTTTAACCTTAATTCCATTTTAAATAATTATTTAATCAATTAAATAATAAACCAAAATCTAAGGAATAATTCCTTTAATCCAAAACCCTATAACCACTAATGAATGATTTTATTTATTTAAATCATACAACAAAGATTCATGCCTTAGCAATTCATCCATTCCTTCTCCAATATTATTTTATTAATATATATAAAATAATACACTAACTTATACATACTCGATTATTCTAATTTAAGAATAACAAATCCTAATCCAACCTACACATAATATTATAAGTTAGTGTATTATTTATTTATATATTGACAACTCAATCATACCTCCTTAAGTATATTTATTTATACATTGGCAATTTAACCATGCCTCAATAAGTATATTTATTTATACATTGGCAAATCAACCATGCCTCCATAAGTATATTTATTTATACATTAGCAAATCAACCATGCCTCCTATGTATATATTTTATTCATACAAATAAGGAAATATTTTTTTTAAACATTTAGCAACTCACCCATGCCTACAATTCATCCTTGTACCAATTTTAGACTCAACGATAGCTAATTCATACATAGACATCTCATGCAGATTATAAGCATATCACTAATTTAATAACCAGCCCAGATATATCAAGTAAGAATAATAACACTAATAATCTTAACTAACATACATATATATAATTCAAAGCTGAAAGAAATCTAAAATATAATCCTTTAAGAATTAAATACTTAAAATCCAAAACCTCTAATAGTTTAACAACTCGGGAATCCATCCAGTGGACCCCTAACAAGAAAATCCCAACTGAAAAATAAAACCAGAAGAAATCCAAAATTATATCATGGAGAAAGATCCTACATCGTTCGGAAGAATGAGTGACCGCCTCTGCTCAGCACGAACAAGCTCAAGCCTGGAACTAACGTGCACCTGAAAAATAGAAGTGAGTCAGGCCCACGAACAAGTTCTATCCTACTGCAATCCAAGCAGAGACTCGATATGCATATACACTCTAACCAACTCAACAATAACTATATAATCCGTGTATATATATATATCCACACTATGGACTTTCATTGGATTATGATGCGGGTCTCAACCTAAGTAGAAGGCAACATGCAAAACGCACCTGAGTGGGCATGACTACCTAAGCCTAACAGGGTATACCTCAACCAATATAGTCAGCTACGCATCCTGCTACATATATGCTCCCTAACCGTTGACTCTGAAACTTAAGCTCATAGCGCGGTACCATAAAAATATATTTAAAGTCCTATCCTATCCATCCATAAGAAATCTAGTTGGACATTCAGCTTGTGCAGTTTCTTTGACTCAACATAAATAACAAGTAATCCAGCTAGTCATTCAGCTTGCTCAGCTTCTTTGACTTAGCATAAATATAAGTAAGATTTATTTATAATCCATTCCCTTATTCCAATACAGGTTGGACTTAGTATTTTAAAACTAAACCATT